GACATGGCCCAAGAGCGCTTCAAGACGCCCAGAATGGCTTCCAGACGGCCTAAGACAAGACGGCCCCATAGGCCCCCAGTATCGTCCCAAGACGGGCCAAGAGGTCCCCAAGAGGCCCGCAAGACGAGCCCAAGGGGGCCCCAAGACAGCCCCAGACGCCCCAAAGACGGCCCCTAGACGGCCCGATACAGCTTCGATACGGCACTAAACCGTCCAAAGAGGGACACACGACTGCCCAGAGAGGGCCCCAAGACGGAATCCGAAGGCCAAGACGGCCCACGAGGCGCCCAAGAGGCCCTAAGGGGACTCCAAGAGGACCTCCAAGAGGCAAATGATCCCGGCAAAGCAACCTAACAGCGATGTGTAGGAGCATATCTGGAAGCATTCCCCTCAAGATTCAGATGAGAATCCAGTTGTAGATTTCTGCTGTTCTCGCAGTCGTAGTCGCATTCGCGATGACAGTCGCAGTGGCAACGGCAGTCACAGTCACAGCCTCAGCCTCAGCCTGCCTCAGCCTCAGCCTCAGCCTGCCTCAGCCTCAGCCTGCCTCAGCCTCAGCCTCAGCCTGCTTCAGCCTCAGCCTCAGTCTGCCTTCAGCCTCGGCCTCAGCCTCAGCCTGCCTCAGCCTCAGCCTGCAGCCTCAGCCTCAGCCTGCCTCAGCCAGCCTGCCTCAGCCTCAGCCTCAGCCTGCCTCAGCCTGCCTCAGCCTCAGCCTCAGCCTGCCTCAGCCTCAGCCTCAGCCTGCTTCAGCCTCAGCCTCAGCTGCCTTCAGCCTCGGCCTCAGCCTCAGCCTGCCTCAGCCTCAGCCTGCCTCAGCCTCAGCATCAGCCTGCCTCAGCATTCAAAATGTGGCCCGGGAATGGAGTTCTGGGAACTCGAAGACCACGAAGTGGCCTACAGTTGGCTCCGGGCATTCAACATCATGCCCAGGAATGGAGTTCTGGGAACTCGAAGACCACGAAGTGGCCTACAGTTGGCTCCGGGCATCCAAAATGTGGCCCGGGAATGGAGTTCTGGAAAGTCGAAGAGCACGAAGTGGCCTACAGTTGGCTCCGGGCATTCAAAATGTGGCCCGGGAATGGAGTTCTGGGAGCGCCAAGAGCGATTTTGCGAGGATGTCTCAGGCGATTTGGGTGGCGGCGGCAGAGCGCCGGCAGCTCGCCGGATCCCGCCCAGACCCCCCTGGGGAGTCATGATGCTTTCTTTTGACCCTACTCGAAACCTATCAGTCTTCGCTGTTAGGTTAAATCATTGATTCCCATCAGGTTGTTCAATGATTTTTGCACGTTCCCCTTTTCGGGCTTGTGACGCCCCAAGACGGCCCCCAAGATGCTCTCCAGATCGCCCCAAGAGGCCTCCAAGATGGCCCAAGAGGCCCGCAAGAGATCCCAAGAAATCGCCAATACGGTTCCCGAAAGACCTCCAAGATGGCCCTGAGGCGCCCAAACAGGGACCCGCGGCCGAACAGAGACGCCCCCAAGGCGAGCTTTGAAGGCCAGGGGGCCCTTTAGAGGCACCCACGAAGCCCCAGGAAATCCCCAAGAGGCCCCTCACAGGCCCCCGAAAAGATCCCAGGACGCCCCCTAGGAAGCCCCAATACGGCCTCAAGAGGAAATCTCCTCCTCCTCCTCCTCCTCCGCCTCCTCCTCCTCCTCCTCCTCCTCCTCATCATCATCATCATCATCATCATCATCATCAGCATCAGCATCAGCATCAGCATCAGCATCATCATCATCATCATCATCATCATCATCATCATCATCATCAGCATCATCATCATCATTATTATCATCATCACCACCAACACCATCATCATCATCAGCATGATCGTTGTCAGCATTATCATCATCACCATCAGCATTATCATCAACACCACCACCACCACCACCATCATCATCAACGTCATCATCATCAGCGTCGTCATCCTCATCATCATCACCAGCAGCTTCGTCGTCATCAGTAGCATGATCATCATCAGCAGAATCAGCATCATCATCATCATCATGATCATCATCATCATCATCATCATCATCATCATCATCATCATCATCATCATCATCATCATCATCATCCTTCATCTCATCCTTCATCTTTCTCTCCCAAGTGTTCCCCAAAGGGGTTCCACAACGGCTAGGGAACAGACTAAGTCAAATAGTTTGGCCAGACGCTGGCCCAACGTTTGGCCGCATGATCGTGTCCAAAAGGCAGGGTCGATTGTGGTTTGCCGTAGGCGTGTTCGATATAACAAGCAAGCGAAGTTCAGAAGCCAGCGGCGTGCCCGTCCAACCTGCAGCGCAAGCTTCCAGAAAAATGCCGCGGGAAACAGGGCGGAAGGCGGCCACGAGCACGCTCTCCCACTCGGGGCTGGGACTCGTGCTCCCCAGAGCTACAAGGCATGCTGCCTGCACGGCAGATCTGTACGTGCCTGTATCTGCGTCCATCCTTCAGCCTTCCCCTCCCTCGATAGAGACTCGAGGGGGCCAGGGTGACGAGAAGCAGCCTTCGATCTACCACCTTCTGAACCAGTCACCGAACACACACACAGACACACACACACACACACACACATACATACACACACAGTTCGCACATCCAGTGTGAAGCACGCATGAAGGCAGCCACGGACACATCGAGCGCTATGAAAAAACACCTGCGACGGACGGACCCCCCCACGAAGCCACCCGGCACGAGACAGGGAAGCGCGATGAGGGTCTCGCGGCCGAACAATTGGCATGTCGCGCGGCCGAACAAGTGGCATGTCGCGGGGCCGAACAAGTGGCCGATACGCGGAGCCGACCGAACATGTGGCATGCAGCGCGGCTCGTGGGGAGCAGCCTTCGAACAGCGCAGGGTGGCTCCTCAGAAACAGGCCCCACCTGAAACTACTGGCCCCTGCACCTTCCGAGAGACGGGTGGCCTCCTCAAAAGAGTGGCCCCCATCACCCGGCCCCTTTCTCTCCAGGGCAACGCCACCAAAGGGATGGGCTCCGCGGGAGAGGCATCGGCTCCGAATCGCCCAGTGATCGCCGATGGGGTCCCGATACCCCGCCCAGGAACGTCTGGATTCGCCATCGAGGGCCCATCGCCGATCTATCGGCGCTACATCGCCGACTCCAAGTCGGCGCGTTCACCCCCGAGCCAGTTCCCCCTGTCGACGCGAAAAGGTTTCGTTCTCGAGCCATCACTCGGGCCTCCAGCGGCAGATCGGGACGATCCAGCCACCCCCCGGGACCGCACCCCGAGGCCGGAAGACGGCCGAGAACCGCAGAAAACGCCCGAGAACCTCCGACCTCGAACCCGTGGCTGCCCCCCCCCCCCCCCCCCCACACCAGACCTCCGACGCCCTTGCCCCTCCGATGACCGCGCGGGGGCCCAGAGCGATCGGCCCCGGCCCTCGCGCGGACCCCCGCGCCCGCTGGGGCGCTCTCGGGCGGGGGCGCTGGGGCCAGGAGCGGGCCTCCAGAGGCGCAGGCCCAGAGGAGGCGGGCGCCGCCGTGGCTCTGCCGGGGCGGCGCAGGCCTGGACTGAGGTCGGGCGCGCCCCCCATACAAGGGGATTTTCGACGAAAGATAAAAGATACTTTTTCAAATGATCCAAGATTATCTCTCACACACACACACACACACAAACAAACAAACAAACAAACAAACAAACAAACAAAAATAGTTCCCAGAGTATGTTTCCACAATGTTTGAATCTTCTCCCTGTAGAGGGACAGGCCCGATTTAAGCCTGGACCCCGCGGGAGGGCGCCGACTGCACGCCTGCACACCGATCCCTGGCCAGGCTCACCCTGGGCCCGGAAGATCGGTGCATGCGACCTCCTGGCCTGGCCAGGAAGGCACCTACACACCGAGCAGGTCTATGGCTGGTGCCCTCCGACCAGGCCCTGTCCCGGCGGCAAAAGCAAGGACCCCAGACCCTGCTCCCCCAAGAAGGCGAAGAAGTTCGAAAGGGGCTGGGAGGCCCAACCAGCAGCTTCGCCTTATTCGAAGCCCACCTCCCGCTCTGTTGTACCGTAGTAACGATAGTCCCGGTAGTAGGGGGCGAGCCATCTCAAGCAGTTGTGGCATCGATGGCACATGGTACACCTCGCGCTGAGGTGTAGTCAGATCTGAACGGCCGGCCGCTTTGAGCCAAGCAGCCGCGGATGCACGCTCGTTCCCACTCACATGCAACGCCCAGCTCACTTTAGAGTCGGGGGGGGAGACGAGGCGTGAACCCGCCGCCTCTATACAGCAGGTACAGCAGCGACTATTTACACAAAGGGCAGCAAAATGGCGGAGTCGTAAGGAAGGTGGACCCGCACGCTAATTGCCTTGCCTGCACTATACTGTGCATACGAATACTCCTCAGGCGGCTACAGAACGAGATGTCTGGCCAGCCCGATAAGGAGCATGACGCTTAAGTCATGATTAAAGGATGGTGTACCTCCCATGACCTGTAGGAGCATTTCTCTGTCGATGCCCCCCTTGGTGTGACCGTCCGCAGTCATATCGCGGGTGTCGCACCACTGAATACTGTGCACGATTCCTCGCTCCGTCATCTGTCGTATCCAGCTGATGTGTCCTAAAAGGGTACACTCAGTCGGCTTCTTCAAGACTTTGCTTGACAAGGACTTAGAAACAGACTCAGCATCTGTGGTCGAGGTGACCTTGGTGTTCAGGCCACCCATCTCAAGTATGTATTTCAACTGGGTGGGAGTTAGCGGTCCTGCGTGGAGCTCGCGCAGAGTCACGATCGTGGGATAACACTCCTCCTGGTTGTGGGCAGCTGCTAGTGTCTCTGCTGAATAACTCGAACGGACCTGCAAGCGGTAAGACTTGCAATACGCATCGAACAAGTGAACGACGGGCTTACCAGATGGCGTACTTCCACGCCGTAGCAGGTTTCTCCCGCGAATACCATAGCCTTTGACTTCGTCATCGGCGTCTCCACTCAGGCGTCGGTAACCTGAGTCGCTGTGCAGATCAACCTCGCCCGTATGGGGTCATCGCTTGGTAGACAATCTTCTTGGGGCGGGACTGCAGTTTCCTGGTAATCGCATTCAGTCGTCGCACTTGTATATCAGTGGGTTCTTGGACACGCTGTAGAGAAACAACATACACCATCAACCACACCTAGGTGATTAATGTATACGCCAGTGCGCCTCTAAGGCTGACGAACATATCTGCAACCATCTTGAGCGCCTGAGGGTCAGCGCCGGCGCTGGTGAGTTCAGGATGTTGCATGGGACGGAGCTGCTTGATGTATTCGTGTTGGTCCAAAGTAACACTGCCGTCCTCATCCTTGGTGTATCTCACAGCACAAGTGGTGCATGTGTGCTTGTTGAGTTTACACTCATCGCAAATATCTTCTATGCGTCTGGCATTCTTGTCATTGGGGCCCTTAGTACCGGCCATATTGATATCATCAAAATGTTTGGCCGTAAGCAGGCTACTCCTCGTCTCGAATTCCTCGTCGTAGGACGTGGGTCTGAGACCAGAACCTCTCGTGGTCCTTCTGAGCTCTAGTGAGAAAGCTCGGGGTGCGTCTTTAGTGCCAGTACCTGGCTTAAGGCACTGCAAGCAGTGCTTCGACTCGCCGCAGCGTTCGAATCCTGGGGGAGTTCGAAGCACCGTGGCCGATCCAGGCGGCAAAGTAAAACACACCACACGTCCCTGATCACCAGTTGCCACAGCAAGTTCCCGGTAAGTCAACCCTTTCAGGAAGGCCATGTTGTTTTCGAGGGAGGCAATGAACCATTGCCTCTTGCATGCTGCCGTGCTCGCGAGTAGTCTCCGGCTTGACCGCAGCGCTGTTCCCGGAAAGGTTCCCACGTCAATGGCTTCAAGGTCCATGAGCCCTCGAAGCACCAAGCACAATCTGATGGCACGGCCCCTTTCGCCCTTCCCGTTCTTCACAAGCTTCCATGTGCACACATACCTCGAAGTCAGTGTTTGACGCTTTAGATACGCCTTGCATCTTGAAGCACTCGTTGTGAAACCATGTCTTGAGTTCTGTGTATAGGGCTTTCGGCATGTTCTCGGGATTCGTCTGGATGTCAGCCTTCGCGAGGAGGTCGTCCTCCTTGACGACCACAGCCCGCTGTGCAGCGGCGGCAACATGCACTCGCATGGTGGTCACACGGTCGACTACCGCTAACATTTCTGCCGCGAAGCAGAGTTCAACATATTGCCCCTTTTCGTCAGAGTCCAGTCCGCAACTGCAATCTTCGACCGCGGAGGGCAGTGGGACATGATACATCTACTCGATGTCGGAGTCGCGTGGGTACCCCCACTTAGGCAGGTGTCCCCGCTGTTCTTCAGCTACAGTGATCAGCACACTACTGTCTGTGATCATATGTGTGGGTACTGCGAAAAGATCCTCTCATGGAGTTGCCTCCAGTAGTCCCCTCTCATAGTGTAATTCTGTAGACCACACTTCCATAATGTGTGCCTCGAGGTCAGCCTCAGATTCCTCATAAATCGTGGGAAGCCGTCCATCCTCCTGTGGTGGTCTGGCTTATGAGGCTTCCCTTGCGGTTCCATCTGGCGTCGGTACATCCGCCAATTCCTAATTTTGTCACATCCTGGCCAAAGCCCGATTGAATTATTGTAGACTTCAGGCACTGGATGATTCTAGAATGTGCTGATCCATTACATCGTGATTGTTAAGAGCGTTGCCTTCTGCTTCATAATAGTGAAATCCTGGGTCCGCATCGTTGCCACAGTGGACCAATGCGCAACTGTCAGCGTAAGAAACCAGAGGTAGCTCACGCATACTCTTGGCTAACCTGACCGAAACTACGTTCCCTATGCGGAAGAAGCTTCTGATAAGGTATTGTAAAGCCAGGTGTGCCTCAGGAGATGGTCGGCTTGCACTTGTCATCTGAAGGATCCCCTTCTTGGTCGGGACATAGCCAAATGTCATAGCAGGTCTTCCCGCAGGTAAACTGGCCACGAACGTCAACACTGTCCGTAATACAGTGCTGTCGGAGCCAATCTCTGGCATTCAAAGCCCAAATATAAAGTGAATGTCGTGCATCGCCGTATTGTACCTGAACGTCGCGGTTCCCCACTCGAATGCTGACTTGGCCCCCCCTCGGGATCGTTTCTTACGACGGGGAATGGGCCCCCCCAGTCGTCCTTCGTAGTTGTGGGGAAATGGTAATCAACTATATCTCCTTCGTCGTAGTAATGCTTACCGGTGACAGTTGTCTTAGTGCGTAATGCACGATTGGTCTTGACTACTGCAGTGGTCTGTGTGATAGCTCCAATGCATACTTTGCGTATCATCTGTTCACGAGAATGATCCGACGTTTCCGTCGGCTGTTCGTGATCCAAGATAGGCAAGTCAAGGAGCATTGCCGGCTGCCGTCTAAATAGGGCGTTGCATGCAGACACCTCATTTTAGAAGGTGAACGCATTGGCGGCAAAGATGGCCTCATGCAGTGGTCGTGTGAACACAAGAGGTATGTCTAACCTGTTGAGTTCAGTTTCCATAACATGAAATATATGGC